TGGCTGTAGGCTATGTCCATCAGGGTTGCTTTGCCAATAGGAGTACTTGTCTGGGGCCAGAGCTCCCAGACACTTCAGAGAAACCAAGTGACCAGGAAGCAGGAAGACCAAAGGCCAGAGAGCATCTTGTTTGGGCCGCACGGTAAAAGCCATGGAGCCATGAGCTGGTGATGGCCCTTCTCCCTCAGAACCAAAGGAACACTCTGCTTTCACTTTCTGAATGCAACTATAAAAAAAAAAAAAACTTGCATCGTAACTGCGTGTGTGTGTGTGTGTGTGTGTATGTCCCCTCTCCCTAGTAGACTGAAAGCTCCATGAAGTCAGGAATGTTGTCCTAAACTTTGTGCTGCTCCTGTGCCAAGCACAGGGAGGTGGAGGGAAAGGGTAGGGAGTCAGTCAATGGCAATTTTTAAGTACCTACTATGTTCCAGGTACAATGCTGAAGCCGGAGGCAAGAAACAGGCCCTCAAGGATCTCTCAGTCTAGTGGCAGGTAGTCTCATCAGAGCAGAGAATTCCCAGTATGGAAAGCCCCTGTACTGATGCAGATACAAATCACCAACTCCACTGTGACAGTCTTGGAAAGTGGCCTGGGACATTGAGAGATTGAGTGACTTACCCAAGGTCACACAGCTACTGTGTGTGTGTCACAGGCAGGTCTGGAACCCAGGTCTTCCTGACTCCAAGGCCATCCCAGAAGCCACTGGCCATAGCCAAACACCTTCTGTCTTTTTAGGACATTCCCTCAGAGTGACAATCCTGGGCCTTCTGGCCACTTTCAGGTCCAGGGGCTTAAGGGGAGAAGAGCCCACAGATCTGGAGGGGAAAACAGAGGCCTGAAGGCAAGGTCAGCTAGACTGGATGTGTATACCACAAGCCTGGAGTCTGGGAGGGACCTCTGGGGCCAGTCTATACCTGAACAAGCATCTCCTGAAGCACTATCAGTGAAGCATTATCTGACTCTTCGGGAAGACCTCCATCGAGGAGGACCCCACCTCCTCCCAGAGCAGCTCATCCTTGGGAAAGCTCAGATTATTAGGAGGTTTTCCCTGACACCCAATTTAAAGCTGCCTATTTGCAGTTTCCGCCCTCTGCTCCTAATTCCAAGCCAGCTAATCCCCCTTCCTTGTGGAAGTCCTTCAAACACTTAGAAGACTGCTGTTGTTTATCATGTCCCCTTGGCCTTCTCTGATTTGCTGTCCCCTTCACTGGGGCCCAGTCCAGCTGGCTGGTGGCTGAATGGGAGCAAACTGACCTATTTGGGTCACTCCGTCTACTGGCTGGTCCTGGACACCGGACCCACCTTCCCTTCATCATCCCCACCATTCAGTCATCTACTCAGGCCATCTCACCATTTTGTCCCCTCGGTACAAGTGCAGTGACTCAACCATCATTGATGGAGGCAATCATTTATCGTAGAAAAATCGACAGATCATCATCTTTTTCGTCTCTGTCTTTCTTCCAGCTTCATCCTACAAGGAGATGAGCTGACTCCATTAACCGAGCCCCATGCCGATCCTTCTGTAATGTCACTTTTTACTCCACCCCCCACCACTGTTTTATGAGTAAAGACTGTTCCTAATTCTCCAGTTTTTTTCTCTATTGGATTTTGCAAATCAATTTATACTCGGTGTCACCCTTGGCTGCTCTGTCTCTCCCCTTGGCAAGGGGATAAGTGTTTGCTGGTTGGTGTGACTTCCAGGTTCTTTTGGCCTCCTTGTTCTGGTAATTACTCCACAATAATTAAACTTACTGAGGAAATGGTGATGGTCTCTATTGTGATTGTTACTTTCTCCATTTCCCATGTTCAGGATCAATATCTCATTTTATAGGCTCCTAGTTAGAGACAGAAAAGAACTTAGAGGCCATCTGGGCCAATTCCCCTATTTTACAAATGAGGGAACTGAGGCATAAGGTTACTAAGTGACTTATTCAGCATCATATGAATAGTAAAATGGTTAAGCTGAGATGGGAACCCAGACTTCCAACCCAAATCCACTGTTTCCTCCATACTCTGCTACCTTCTTCTTAAGATTGTGCCAAATCTCCTTATCTTTATTCTTCTATTACAGTATTGATTTTGGTTTATTTTTGCTCTTCAATTAATGGTCTAGGAGCTCACAGACCATGGGTCCTCACTACACAACCTTGTTTCCTATTTCTTGAGATGTCATCATTTTCTTTTTCTGGGAGAAGGGAGGTGTTGCCTTGCTCAAGACCTTCCAACTCTGATTTATTCTGGACAGCCTTATTGAATTCTTTGTAGAATGTCTTTGCTCTTCACCCTTGGCAGTAGATTTTGATGCCTAAGCTACAACTGTGTTCATTTAGGACGTTCCACCTCCTGCCTCAGCAACTTTGCATAGACTGCTCCCTCCCCTGGTCGATGTCCACGTCCAGAATGCACATCCTCCCCTCTGCCTCTTAGAATCCATCCCCAGCATTCTTCAAAGCTCAAACGCCACCTCCTACATGCAGTCTTTCCTGATTTCCCCCTGCTGCTAGTGCCAACCTCCAAATTATTTCAGATTTATTTTGTGTACAGTTCATGCTTACATATACTCACACATCTTTTTCCTCCTCCAAGAATATTGTAGGCAGGGCCCATTTTGCTCTTGTCTTTGCTTCCCTGGTACCTAGAATATTTAATAAACAATTGTTGATTTATCTTTTTAAATGATTCATTAAAAACCTAATGTTGAACACTAATACAGGTAATTCACCTTCCTTAGTAAAGATTTACATTTAGATTAATTAATTAAATGAATTAAAAAACAAACAAACCTTTCCTCTCAATCCCTCTAAGTCTCTAATAGGATTCTTTGGTTCATTCTCATTCTCATTCACTTTTCCTGTCACCTCTGTGAGGCAGCTAGCTGGACATAAAGGAGTGGACCTTGAGTCAGGAAGACCTGAGTTCAAATCTGACCTCAGATACTTACTGGCTGTGTGACTCTGGGCATGTTGCTTTAGCTTTTCTCAACAACTTCCTCATCTGTAAAATGGGAATAGCACCTCCTTCCCAGGGTTGTAGTGAGGATTAAATGAGGTGCCAAATGTGCAGCACTTTACAAATCTTAAAGTACTATATAAATGTACTATACATAAAGTACTATACAAAATACTATATAATCTGCCTCCAACTTATTACTATTAATACTACTACTACCAGTACCACTACCACCACCACCACCACCACCACCACTACTACTACTACTACTACTATTACTACTACTACTACTACTATTACTACTACTACTACTACTACTACTACTACTACTACTACTACTACTA